TAAGCGCTTTCTCAGCAAATGCAAGCGTCTGAGTTTAATCCTTGGTTCCGCCCAAAGGAAAAAAAATTAATTAGTATTTAATTATCTGAATATTGCTTAATCTTAATTTTTGTTCTAAGATTTATACTATATCTTTGACTTACAATTTATTTAAAAGACATCATATGATATCTTCTCCTAGTATTAGAAACTTTATTTCATTTTATTTATTTATTTATTTTTTGTGGAACCGGGGATTGAACTCAGGCCCTTGCGGTTGCCAGGGAAGTGCTTATTCCACTGAACCATCTCCCCGGCCCCTAGAAACTTTAAAAAGTATATTTTCATTTTCTGTTGACTTAAAAAAAATAATAAATAACTCATTCAAAAAAAAAAAAAGGAAATTTGTACCCTTCAAAAAAAACCCCCAAAAACATATAGTTGAAAACATCCTACTCTGCAATTTTTTTTTTTTTTTTTTTTTACCAGGGATTAAACTCAGGATCTTACACTTGCCAGGCAAGCACTTATTCCACTGAGCTATCTTCCCAGCCTTTTCTTAAATTTAAAGAACTGGAAACTGTGTGCTAATAATCTACAGAGTTGCTTGGAAGTGCCCTCTGGGGTAGCACTCTTTTAGTAAGAGAAACCCAGAAATGTGAGCTCGGGATTACTTTTGTCTCACATTATCTCTGATGGTATTTCTACAAGGATGGCCACTGATTGCTGTGGCTATTTAAATTTAAATTGATCAATGTTAAATGAAATAAAACCCGGTTCTGCGCCATCTTGGACAGTGCCAGTATGGAACATTGCCATCACTGTGGCAGGTTCTGGTGGTCGTGGATGGTGCTGATCCGGATGGCAGAAGAACCTGACCTTTCAGGAGCCTGACGCTTAAGGGCATGAAAGCTCCCCTTCCCCTACCCACCTCCTTAGCAAATCTGCACTCACTGGGGAAAGGGTGTCGCTTCCCATGGGAGCTGTCAGATGTTAGAACGCATAGCACTCAGTCAAAGCCACTCTATTGGAGCACTTTCTAGGGGAAGAGTTGTGTTTTCTAATTTCTAAACTCCTAGGCTGCAAAAAGATAGCAAATGATAATTAGATAATTGTAATGATAGCACCTATTTTTGTTGCATACCTTCTGTGCTCCATGGCTGTGTCTAAATGCTTTACAATATTAATGCTTTACAGTGTTAACTCCTTTAATTGGCATAATTTATAGGACATATAGTAGTTTATCCCCATCTTTCAGTTGAGGAAACTGAGGCACCAGGGATTTAAATAGCTTGGTACCAGTCATTCGGCAGAAGAGCAGTTGAGGTTGTACTTGAGGCAGGGATGCTGTGACTCTCCTGCTCTGCTCTCTGCGAATGGCTCAGGCATACCCAGAATGCTCCCTGTGAGGGGTCAGCAGCCTGTGTGAGAACTGGAAAGAACATGCTTCATGAGCAGCCAGGCCAGTTCAGTTTCGCATTCTAAGGACTTTGCTATAGGCTGGAGGGAGTCGAAATAAAACATTTTTTTGAAAGGACCCCATAGCAGGTGAGACAGTTTGAGGAAGATAACTGATCTAGTAGACCAAGCAGAGGCACACTAGCTGTCTTAGTTACCTTCTGGTGCTGGGACCAAATACCAGACACTTAAAACTTAAAGGAAGAGAGGGCCTATTTTGGCTTACAGCTCACTCTGTAATGGTTAATACATTGTGTCAACTTGAGAAGTCTAGAAGCTAAGCTAAATAACTCAGCAGTTCTACATCCTAGAGTACAGAGGACATGCCCTTATTGCACTAGGATTTTGTTCATTATGTCACCTTGAGAAGTTTAGAAGTTTACCGTAAGTGATTCAGCGGGGCCCAGGGCCCTTACTTTGTAAATCCCCTAAGCATGTTCCAGAGGAGTGTTCTGAGATGGTGTGAGTGCGAGACCCACCCAGAGCAAGTAGCCGGCTTACTGTGTAAGGGAGGAAAGAGGCCCTTGCTGCTTCTGCTGCCTTGAACTATGCCCTCTGCCATGCCACCCTGCCCTGGAACCAGCTGATTATGGAATGAAAACTCCACGAACAAAACTCCACGAACTGAGCTACAGAAACCTTTCCTAACTTCATTTTGGATGTCAGGGATTTTGTCTCAGCAATGAAAGCAAAGTAAGTCAGGATGGCTTTGGGGCAGGGAGGGTCAGGTGAAGCCCTGCTGCTCACAAGGCAGGCAGGAAATGGAGTGGGAGGAGCCAGGCAAGGAGCAAGACCCTTCTAGGCCACACCCCGGGTGACCCCAGTGACTCTTCCAAGCATTAGCCATGGGCTAAATCTGACCTGCTGCCAGTCTTTTTAGATAAGGCTGTATGTGGAGCACAGCCTCACATGTTCCCTTCTAGAGCAGCTGTGATTGCCCCCACATTAAGAGTGGCAGAGCTCAGCAGTTGTAACAGAGAGCTCGACGTGTGCAGACTCTGGGATCCTGGGGGAGGGGCTTTTCAGAGTAAATTATGCCAACCCCTCTGCTAAATCGTGTCCTCCCAGCACTTCTAGGTGTGAGCAGCAGCGCATTTCTGAACTTCAGGAATGACTCTCAGGTGTCAGGACAGCCTGGATAGTTCAGTATTTTCCTGCTCCCCAACATGAATGTGCATGCCGCCTGCATGCCAGGCAGATCTGAATTTGCCCTGGCACTCAGATGTGTCCATCAAACAACAAACACCCATGTGGAAGAGACCCACTGGGCAGCCTGGGAAGGGCGGCTGGCTGTGCCAGAGCTCGGCACGCCCGGCTCAGTTTGCTCCCGCGCTTCTCCTGCACTGCTCATTCGCAGGAGATGGGTGCACCCCACACATTCATTTAATGTCTTTTTCTTTAAGGCCATGGAGCAAGCGGAAATAATAAGCAGATATTGAAATTCAGCATTCTTCATCATCTACTCCTCATTATCGTGTTAGAATAAATTAAATTTCTCTAAAACTCGTTTACCAGACATTCTCAAAATAACATTTTTTTTCCTGATTGTAAGAGTTTTACATGCAGAGAATGTGGAAGAATTTAGCCACAGGAATAGAAGCCCCCACCTCCACCCAGAGGCAGCCAGCACTAGCATTTGACAGAGATGAGTAATTTTTAACTAGATTCTGTCACACATGTACATTTTTTTTCTAACTTCATTTTTTCCTCTGTTATTTAAAGTGTCTTAGTAAACACCATTTTTCACTGCTAGGGAATAATCTGTTGTATGGGTGGGTCATAATCTGCCAATTCGTTGCTTCCTTTTTCCTGGGCCACTGGGTTGTCTCCAGCCGCTTGCCATTACTGATAAAACACAGTGACTGTGTTTGTCCAAGAGCCTCTATCTTTCTCCTGCTCTGCCCTCAGCGTCAGACTCTCAGAAGTGCATTTACTGAGCCAAACACATTTGGTATCTTAAGGGCTTATGAGATGTACCTCTCTTGAAAAAAATAAAGAGGGCGGATCATTTCCGGCTTCCTCCGTGGCCCCCGCGAGAGGGTGCTCCTGCTCACATTGTTAGAACAGAAACACCAGCTTGTCTGAGCGTGGCACGAGCTATCAACACAGTGGAATGAAACTCCAGCAACCTGGAGCCCTTTGGAAATATTTACTTGGTGCTTTGACACTTATCCTAGGAGTTTGGTTGTTTGCTTAGGGGGAGCCGGGATGAGTGTTTAGATATCTGCTTTAGTTTTCCGACCCCCCTGGATATAACAGTGGCCTCGGCAACCCCAGCGCCTTCACACTGCCCCCTCCAGGATGTGCTCTCCCAGAGCGGTGCACAGCAGGCCCTTCAACCGTGCTGCAGGCCTCATACACGAGGCCTCTGGCCGCTTGCTGTCCCACGCCCTGCCTGGGGGCCTGGGGACCCTGCCTCACCATCCCTACTCCCAGCGCTTACCAGAGGCACAGCAGCCCCTTTAGGGCTGTAATGGTTGATAGGTCTGTCAACTTGAGAACTGAGAAGTTTAGAAGCTTAGCTAAGCGGCTCAGCAGGAGGCCTCAGACCTCATTTTGTAACCATCCTTGTCTCCTGCCAGAGGAGGGCACAGAGATGCGGTGAGTGCTAGGTCGCCCTGGGGGTGGGCCGCCTGCTTACAGTACAAGGCAGGAGAGAGGCTTGCTGTCCCCCCATTTGCTCTAGCTGCTTTTGCTGTCTTCTGCTGCCATGAACTGTTGTCCCTCTAGCATGTGTCACCCTGCCCTGGAGCCAGCCGTTTACAGACTGAAACCTCCACAACTGTAGCTAAATAAACCGTTCCTGCCTTAATCATGGGTGTCAGGTATTTTGTCCAAGCATCAAAGGAAAAGTAACCAAGACACCCACCCCTGTCGCTGCTTTCTGCCCTTGAAGTTGTGTGTATGCTGGGTCTGAGCTTTGCTGTCCATATTCGAGTGAGGATTATCAGTTCTGAGGCACTGGGACCAGCCTGAGGATCGCTGTAACATTAGCAACGGCCAGTGCTGGCTCTGAAGAGCAGGGCCTGACTTTGGGGATGGACCTGGCCTTCCTTCATCATAAGGGCCATATGTATGAATCTGTACCCCATTCACCACTGGGGCAGGCCTGCGGCACCTCCTCCTGGGCTGTCCTGTGTCACAGAGCAGCCGCCAGAATGACTGTAAAGTCAGGACTGGAGCAGACAATTAGCCAGCGCTGGGTCTGTCTTTTAAGGCTATGACAGGAGCATGGGCTAATTACACTGGGGCACTGGGTGTTAGCTCCAGTCCTCAGATGCACACAAGCCTCACAGTGTCACCAGAGTGGTGAATATTAACAATTTTGTCCAGGGAGCTTTCCTGTGGCCAACAGTGATACCCTTGATTTTCAGAGTCCCTTACAATGAAACTTCCTGGGCAGTCTTTGCTGTGGTGACCTCTGTCCTTTCATGAGGGTCCAAGAACCTGGACTCGAGGACAGTGTGATGAGCTGTTCTTCCCTTCTGCAGGTCCAGCACATACCGGTCCAAGGGCGTCGATGTCACCGTGAAGTATACACAAGGCAGCTGGACAGGCTTCGTGGGCGAGGATGTGGTCACCATCCCCAAAGCCTTCAACAGTTCTTTTCTTGTCAATGTTGCCACTATCTTTGAGTCGGAGAATTTCTTTCTGCCTGGGATTAAGTGGAATGGGATCCTTGGGCTTGCTTATGCCACCCTGGCTAAGGTAAGGTGGCGAATCCCCAGACTGAAGTAAATCCCACAGCGGCGTGGGGCTTGGAAATGGCTTGTGGAGGGGCTGGTCCTTGAAGACAGTTGTTGAGGAAAATCACAGAAACAGATACAAAGCTTAAGGTGCATAGCACAATTCTTTGAGCCTTCCTAGAAGAGATACTAATAATAGCATGGACTATTTTTATTTTGGTTTTATTTTTAGTTGTGTAGCTTAAAAAAAAATGTTAGTAGAATATGAATCACCTCTGAGAGGGAGTTTCCTTAGGAGTCTTCTCGTGTCAACCTGGTAGAGCTCGGAGGACCTGGCCTGGAAGTAGAAATGGTCAGCTCCACTGTGGGCATAGAGCCAGGAGAAGTGGGAGAGCCCTGGTCTTGGGAGCATCTGAGCCTTCACAACCCAGGGTGACACAGAGCTAGATGTTCTCTGGGCCTCTGCCCTGGGGCCTGGGTGTACAGAGGAAGAGGAGGTGGGTACTTTCCACCAGGAAACGTGGCAGGATGTGGTAGAACGGACAGCAGGGCCCACCTCTGCTGGTCCCAGCGCTGTGCCCCAGCTGCATGGGTCAGCCTTGGGCTTTGCACCAGAGTTCAGTGAGGGAGGAAGAAATACAGTTGTAGGGCAGTGGGCCCTGCTGCAGGCCCATGATGGTCCACAAAAGAATGCCCAAAGCCCACCCTGCGGAGCATGTTCTCAGCTCAAGTTTATTAGCAACTGATGTGGGGTCAGGACAGATGAGGGCTCCCTTCCAAATACCCAGCCCATTGGCCTCTAGGGTGAGAACATTCACTCAGCGCTCATGCCTCTCCTAGCAAGGCTGCAGTCTCCCCATGGTGGATGTGGGAGACCCCAAGAGAATGGCAGCCCCACCCTGCTCAAGCCAGAGCAGAGCACCAGTGCAGAGCCAGCGAAGGGGCAGGAACCTCTGTGTCTTCTGTTCTGCGGGGCTAACTGTGTAGATCTATAGTCTGGTAGAAATGTAGTTCCTAAATCCATGGCCTTAGGCAAGATGTCTCTTCTTTTATGTGACTATGTGAAAATGAAAGATATAAGCACGATTGATCTTATGCTAATTCTCCTGACGAGGTCAGAGTAAACCTAAATTATTTATAATTAATAATGTGTCCAGCTGCCATGGCAGCAAACTCCTTTGAGGTATTTTCAATGGGTTTCCAACATCTCCATGTGACCTTTCATCTTTCTTCTATGTAATTCCAAGAGTTTTACCAAGTGGCTTCAGACTCCTGGTGTGAAGAAGGCAAAGACCAATTTGCAGGAAGTGGATTGTGTGAGGTGGCTGGCAGGGTATCCAGCACCTGTGAGAGTCATGGCATGTGGTGGCCCCTGTCCATCCCCGCCACTTCCACCATGGCTGCGTGTCACGGCCACCCTGTGGCTTCCTCCATTTCAGAGCTGCAGCCCACATCCACCTGCAGAATTGGCCATCCTGGGCCAGTCCTCAGCCGCTGTGCCACTGGCAATCCCTCGGGGGCATCCCGAGGCCCAGAAGTGGTATAGAATGACTGACGGCATCATACAACCTCGACATAAACCAGGCACTTTATACAGATTGACCACTTCTGGCCCTGGATGGTCTGGTGGGCAATGATGATCCCCTTTCATAGATCAAAAGGTGATGATGGGGAGGAGGAGCTGGACAGCATTTTTGCCACATACCCTGCCTCCTCCCGAGACAGCAGCTCTGACCAAATCCCCACCAGGCCCGCCCAGTCCACAGAGACACCCCGTCCTCCCCCACAATCCAAATACAAAGCACTGTGACCCAAGGCGCAGTTGAAGAGTGTGCAGAGTCCTGTCCTATGACCCAACCTCATGGCACCCTTGTCTACCCAAAGTCAGGAAGCTCTTGTCTGTCTTTTCTCCTCCTGCAGCCATCAAGCTCTCTGGAAACATTCTTCGATTCCCTAGTGACACAGGCCAAGATCCCCAACGTGTTTTCCATGCAGATGTGCGGGGCTGGATTGCCTGTAGCCAGATCGGGTACCAACGGAGGTAGTCTTGTGGGTATCTTTTAGTCTTACAGGGATGAAAATTCACAACTTGATTGGGGTTATTTCAGTTCTTCTAGAAACCTGCTGAGAAATTTCAGACATGTAGGCATGCATAGGTACTATAAAATTTGGTAATCTTTGTTATAGAACCTTTTAAAAATGGATACAGTTGGGTTTTCTTCTTATATTTCCTGCATCCTGCTGTTGAGAACTATGATTCCCATTGCTTTCCAAATTCCTTTACTGTCCTAAGAAAGCAAACAGTGGGTCTAGAAGGAGTGAGTCAAAAACAGTGAGAACTTGTGGCCAGTGGAACCAAGTTTGTGATGTCCCCTGAGGGTGTAGCAAAAAGTGCCCTCTCCCACCCCAGCCAGTATACTTCAGCTTCTTAGTTGTCCAGGTAATAGTTCCTGTTCCAGATCTGGTTGCTTCTGTCCCATACAAATGGCTGGTCACACTGATGTACATTGTATAAGTGAATCCCCAGCTGACAAGTCATTCTGCCTCTGTACTTCTTGCTTTCATATGGCACATAAGCCCTAGACCACCAGCAACTGCGCCTGATATCCCTGGAATGATCTGATCAGTGCCCCTCTGCCTCCAAACTCTGGCTATTGTGTCTGTGTTTCTATGTGTCTTTTCAAGGAGAAGACAGTGGCCCTGGGACAGCCTTTGTCTCTCCCCTGTCCTCCTCCCTGCTTTGCCTTCCCTTTTCCTCTCAACATATACACACACCACACAGAGAGTTATTTTCTTCTGAAATGGATTCAAGGCCATCAGCCCTATGAATGTGTCACCTAAGCTTCTGTGTAAGGTCCCTAAATCCGAACATCTAAAGTGGGCAGAAAGAATGCACAGAAAGAGCCCCTCCCAGGGAGGGTGTAGCCAGCCCCTCCACTCCACACCAGTTCCTCTATCACTGTCATCGGCCCTTGGTCTACCTGCTCCAAGTACTTTTCTATCCCCTGTGTGGAAGCAGAGCAGGTTGGGGTTTTTGGTGTGACATGATAGGTTTTGCACAATGATGTCTTGGTTCAAAGAGCCCTTGTATCCTGCTTTCTTCTTGTCCAGCTCCAGAGGCACCCTTAGCGCTTCTATTGAGTTCACTTGGGGGCAGTCTCAGTGTGGAGAGCTGGAGGTGTGTGTGCTCTTGTCAGATGTGGGAAGGCATTGAGCATCTTGGTAAGACTAGGACATGGCGCTGTGCATTCTCTGGACGTGGTCACTGAACTGTGTGCTTAATTTTCCAACATCTGTATTTGTTGGAGAACATCAAAGTGGAAGAGCACTTCCACTTTGGTTGGAGGTTGAAGGATGGTTGGTGGTCTCCGGTCCTCCCAAAGCAGTGATGTTTGTGACCTTTCACCTTGCAAGTGCATGCTTCTGTAGAGAAACTATTGATTATCTGTATACATATGTGTGTGTGTGTGTGTGTTTGGTCCTATATCTGTAATTCTGTTTCTTCCCAGGTACTGGGTGGGATTGAACCAAGTTTGTATAAAGGAGACATCTGGTATACTCCCATTAAGGAGGAATGGTATTATCAGATAGAAATCCTGAAACTAGAAATCGGAGGCCAAAGCCTTAACCTGGACTGCAGAGAGGTGCGTATCTATGTCTGTCATACCTATCTACATGGGCCTGGGTACTCCAGTGCCGCAGCAGGACCCTGTGCCTGAAGTCTAAAGTGTATACTTTTGCAAGACAGTGTAGGAATCCCCTCCAGGGAAGGAAGCAGCATGTCCTCATCCCACTGTGAGCTTTAAGATAGCGAAATGGTTGCTAGGACTGTGTCCAGCTACTCTTCCTTTCACCAGTCCTCTTGGCCTGATGGTCCCTGAATTCTGTAGAAAGGAATAAAATAAGCAGATTTTTATCCATTCAGGGCACAAAGGAGACAAAAGCAAGCCAAATTTGTACAGTGTCATTAGCTTATCCTCTAGCTGGAGCTCACCTGCTGCCCTCCTGCATTCATAACTTTGACCTGAGAAAGTTGTGGGCTGTATGTGTGTATGGGCTGGCAATGCCCATGTACCCAGTTGTGATGCCCAGTGTGGGGGCGGTGGTGTCCACAGTGCTGTGCTGCATCTTGGCTTCTTTATGGTGCATCAGGACATTATGACGATGGTGGTTGGAGGGAGCACCTGGTGTCTGGGCCATTTTTAGGATGGTTGGTGGTCCCCAGTCCTCCCAGTAGCACCCAGTGCCTTGGGAGATATTTAAGACCTAAATCGTGGAAGTAATCATGTGTCTGCATGTGTGTTTCTGTTATTAAATTCCCTTTCTAAGTAGAAGTATCTAGTGAAAGATTGTCTTCTTCTCTTTCTTCCCTGGGAAGAAAAGAGCAAGTGACTTTTGTGTAGTTCATTCAAGTGGCTCATAATGGGTCTCTCCAACTTCTAAAAACAAATGAATGGGACCGCCTCTGCTGTGGGCTGGGGGCCAGGTCCTCCATGAGGGAACATAGGCAGCTCGGAGTAAGCACCTGGCTCTTCCCAGGGGTGGCTGTTGGCTGCAGTCATGTCACTTCCTTCCACCTGGCCTCAGTTTTCCTGACCTCCTTTTGAGAACACAAGGTAAACTCTAATTCCCAGTGAGCTTGTGTGGCTGTCCGAGTCTGTAGATGGCAGGGGCGTGGCAGTGCTGGCAGCTGGGTGGGATGTGGCAGTCACTCAGTGCCCTCTCCTCTCCCGTTGCAGTACAATGCAGACAAGGCAATCGTGGACAGTGGCACCACGCTGCTGCGCCTGCCCCAGAAAGTGTTTGATGCAGTGGTGGATGCTGTGGCCCGCACATCTCTGGTAAGTCTCCAGCTGCTCATGTGCTCTCCAGATGCTGAAGGATGGGAGTCTATAAAGTATTACTTGGGGAGTTCACAATCTTGACTTGCAACATTCATTAACAAATAGTGTCTCCTATTGTCTTTGCAATACTCAATGATTAAGCCTGGATCCTTCACACTGAGCTACACCCCACCTTTTTACTTTTTTTTTGAGACAGTCTCAGTCACTAAGTTGCCCATGCTGGGCTCACACTTGGAATCCTTCTGCCACAGCCTCCCACAGTGCTGGGATTGCAGGTGTGCACCAGCCCATCTGACTTACAACACCTTCATTTGAACCCCATAGGACCTGGCCCATTTGACAAATGTCTTAGTGACTTTCTCTTTGCTGAAGTAAAGTACCTGGCACCCTCCAGTTAAAGGTGGAAATATTTATTTTGGTTCATAGTTTGTTGAGATGTCAGCCCATAGTTGGCTGGTTCCAAGGCAAAGCAGCATGGCAGAGAAGAAACAGCCCATAGCATAGCCATCAGGAGAACTTTCTTTCCCTTTTTATTTCATCCAGGCTGTAAGCCTATTGGTTGATGTCACCCACACCCAGGGTGGGTCCTCCTCCTTCAGGAAATCTGACCTGCACACCCAGAACAATACTAAACTAATCAGTGGACTCATCCAGTGTCGCACTCCCATAATCTAGCCACTCCCCAAAACTCCAGTTTGAGGTTTTAGGGAGACACAGATGTAAGTGATAGTAGTGTAGTACATTTCAACTAAGATAAACAATAATTTGTCACATAACTACAATCATGTGAGTGTGATCTGAGAAGCGCCTTGTTAGATAATTTTTGTCATTAGGCCAATATCTTCGTGAGCACTCACACAGACCCTTCCAGTGGGCCTAGGAATAAGATAGGCATTTGCTGCTACAAACAGTTTTACAGTAAGCTTTTTGTTTTTAGCAAGTAGAACGAGTACACTCTAAAACACCCATAAAAGGTATAGTGTAGTAAGTACATACGGCAATATTCCTTTGCCTTTTTGTTGTTGTTTTTTGTTTTTGGACTGGCTCAGCCCACCCTGGGGCAGGCCTGGTACAGCATATATGATTCCAGGGATTGAATCATGGTCTTTGCGCTTGCCTAAGCTTGCCCTAAGCCGGTGCTTTAGTCCGCTGAGCTACCTCGCTGGCCCCTGTCAATAATCCTTTGTTAGCATCCTCCAGTGTTATGTTCTGTAGGTCACTGTGGCTGCTCTGTTTATACACCTGGCAGTGCAGTAGGTACCTTTACCCCAGCATCACACACTCAGGAGTCAAGCTCTGCACCGCTACTGCAGGGCCTGTGGCATCCTGGGAGGTGGCATCTGCCAGACTTCTTTCTGATCTCTGGAGACCCACACTGCACATGCATTCTGCTCTGGACTGGTGGATCCTGTTACACTTCGTGGTATGTGGCCACGTAGGGAAGACACAGTGAGTCGAGAGCGCATCAGTGGCTTTACAGCAGACAGGTGAACCAGAGTTTCCCCCCTCATTGGCTCTATCCAGGCTGCACTGGCCTCTTACTTTCTACTTGATTTTTTCTAGACCAAGGATTTTTTACAAGAACACCAGTTGCAGAAAGCAGTAATTATTGTATAGCTATGTCTGAAATGCAATTAGAATGTACATAACAGTGGAGCATGCTAACAAATGACTATCAGAGGAAAGTGATGTTTTGGGGACCTGGCAGCTGATATTCCTGTTGTCACCCCAGCAGAGTACACTGATGAGCACTGGTCCTGGGCAGCTTTGGGGCCCAATGGAATTAGGTCTAGTCTAGTTTCTGCCCCTCTATCACTGGGTCCCTGGAGAGAGGTTCCCCAGGGAGCCCCACGGTCTCATCTCTGGGTTATTAAGGCTTGCAATGAGGAGCCCTGCCCCCCCCATGTCCAGCCCCACTTGGATGAAGGTGCTTATGTTGGGTGGCGCACTGCACCCCGCTTGAATGGACAGTAAACATTATCTTTGGCTTAAGCATTTTCTCAGCATTTCCCCCCCCCCCCGTGTCATCCTTGTCACCAAGAACAGGTGTCTCCTGGACAACCTGCTCCCTGGCTCTTGCATGGGGCTGATGTCCCACTGTGCATCAGGGTAGCCATACTCCAAACATGAAATGTGTAGTGGTCACTTGCTGCGGATCACAGGATCACAGCAGAAACGCAGGAGCCGTGGAGGACCACCAGGATGGTTACCCTCAAAAGATCAGCAATTGTCTCTGTTTTAGTAAAACCTAGCCCTATTGCTGTGTACTGTGTTTTTTGTGGGTTTTTTTTGGCAGAACCAGGGATTGAACTCAGATCCTTGCATTTGCCAGTCAAGCGCTTATCCTACTGAGCCATCTCCTCGGCCCCAGGATTTCTCTTTCTGTATCTCTCTTTCTCTGCATATTTCAGAAAACTCTCGCCTCCCACCTCGCACTCAGCTACTTCTCACCATTCTCACAATCCCTCATCCCCAGCCATACCCCTCTTTGTGAATTAATAAAACCCAGGCTTGGCACTGGGTAGAGGCCTTTGTTCCAGTTAGTCATTGCTCTGACTGGACTTGGGGCTCCCTTGGTTCCCCACCATTTTAGGTATGTATTTGTGTTTTTATTTGCACAGTGGGTTGCCCTGGCAGTGGTAGACAGGAATTAACTCACTCAAATGCCAGTAATGTTCCCTTGGCATTATAAATATGAACTTTATGGAACCACAGTGACATTCAGGAATGGCTTTCACTAAGAGCCAGAGGGGGCTTTGGTCATCCAGAACCAACACTTCAGAAGTCTAAAGCCACAGGGCAGGAGCAGCAGCCATACCCCCGGAACTGGGATGACAGGAAGGGACGTGAGACCCTTTCATACTCACAGGTGAAGGCAGCAGCCTGCAACAGGTGCCGCGGGAAAGCAGAGCAGATCCCTGGCTCTTTTGACCTCTGCTGAGTCAGAGAAAAGCCCTGTGGACCCTGACAGCTGTAAGGCTAGGACGTTTGTGGGTGACTGCTCCCCCGAGATAGCAGCAGGGTGCCTGTTTCTTAGCTGGTAAAACTGCCCTAGCGAAGCTGATGGGAGCACGTGGTCCTCAGCTGTAACTGCTCCCCAGGGGCCCACAGACATGTTGGAAGGGTCAGGTGGATCCACGAAGCCACCCACCCCTGAGCCCCTTCACATCCCTGAGCTCACTGGGACCCCATACCCCCAAGCTGCCAATCCAGGAGTAAACCCTGAGGAGGAAGACATATGATTGCATCTTTTTGTTTGCCTTGTCTAAAGTTGGCTGTGATTTCCTGCAGTGCCTGCATCAGAAGGGGAGCAGGCCCAGGTCTGTCTGTCTGTCTGTCTGTCTGTCTGTCTGTCTGCCTGCCTGCCTGTCTGCCTGCCTGTCTTGGAAAGGGAGATGCCTCAAGGGGCTTTGTCTGTGTTATGGCCAAGGTGTGTCCATCTCAGTTCTATGCTCGGTCTGTCTTTGATACCAGCTCTCTCGGCCTGGCTTCTCTTTCTAGTGAAGGCAAGAACAGGATTCGGGGCTCAAGGAAGTAAGATGTTGGGCCCCACGACTAAGTGCACGTTGCTCAGCATGGAGCTAGAGGTTTGCATCCTGTCCTGCTGGGCTGGGTGTAGGAAGTACAGAGCAGAAGTAGTGGACAGCACAGCACAGTCAGGAGCTCAGCTGCCAGCCTGGCCAGGTCCTGCACCTCCTTACAACTCGGGGTGTGGGGGAGGGGACAAGCCACAGTGACTTCCTACTTCAGAACTCTTACCTGAGGTCAAAACTATCCCCAAGAACACACAGGCACCCCAGTGGAGGCCTCCAGACATCTGGCAAAGGGACGAAGTTTTAGGTGTGGAAGGGTGTACCCCCAAATCCAAGCAGTGCCTCTTAGGGCTGTGATTGACCCCTTTGAGTGCTACGCCTCACTTCATGTCAGAGTAGTCACAAGCTGCAGGCTGTGTCCAACAAAGTGACCCTTTCCCCCATCAGCTGGTCTGGGGAGGGCCCTCCCCTGTGGAACCCATTTCAGATCAACTTCATTTCCTTCAAAAGCAAAAATACATGAGGACCAGCCTCAGAAACTGACCACTCAGGAATGTGAGTGGGTATGGCAGGGCCTTCTGTCCCCAGCTGGGCACCACACCGGTCACACTGCCCTGTTTCCTCCTGTGCCATCTCCTGGTACTTCCTGTCTTGTTACTTCCTGATTCTCTCTGGGCACTCTACTACCCAGGTATCTGTGGCCACCCTGTACTTCAGGGCTAGCATCTCGGTACCACCCCTGTGTCAGACCCACCCACTCACTTGTGCCTCTTGCAGACCCAGGGTACCCCCCAATTGGGACAGGGGAGCAGATCCCAGGAAAGCTACCCACACATTCATGGGGCCAATCCAGTTGCCGCAGGGCTTCCAGGTACAGGTCTTACAAGTGGAGAGTGGGCACGTGACTGCTGACCAGCTCACCGCATCCCTCCCATCCTTCTCCTGCCATGGTACCACTGGTGCCATGTGGGGACCCTGGCTGTGGCTTCTGCCGACTGCACCTCCCAGGGTGATCGTCTCTCATACTGGACTCTAGGCCTATCTTTTTCCCAGAAAGCACCTTGGGTGATGCCCCTCCTCCACCACAGGCCTGCAGTCCCTGGAGGGCTGGGGCTGGAGGAGGTGCTGTCCTCCCTTCCCTGCCACCGGCCGGGCCTGGTGGGCTGCACTCAGGACTTGGATTCCAGCAGCATCATTGCCCAACAGGCACCATGTGGTACAAGATGTGTGCTGCATCTTTCTCCCACTTGCATGGAAGGCTGGTATGGGGACAGGAAGGACCTCCATCCTGAGAGACTCTGTCCTCGTGCAGGAAACAGACATTTGTCATCCAGGAAGTGCCATTGTGGATTGCCACAGGACTGAGCCTTAGCAGGAGAGGGGCAGGGATAACCTGGGGGGACCAGGCTGGGCTCTGGCATCGGAGGCAGACGGGGCCCGCAAGGACCTCAGGGCCATGTTCCCTGATGGGGTCTTTCTCAGGCTCTGGATATCGAAAACATAGAATGAGCAGGACACGGAAGAGCAGCGGCAGGGTCAGTGAGTGATTCACTTGGAACAGGTAGGATCTACTGTGAAGGGCAGAGTGGGCCAGTGGGAGGAGCTTGGAGTTGGGGGGCTTGGTGCTGGGGGTCTCTGCCTTAGTGTTTGGGGCAGGGTTGAGGATTTGATCTGAGGTGTGGCTCCTGTAGTGGGCAGCCTTACTCAGTCCCTCCTTCAGAAGTGGAGTTGTTGACCTTGTGGGGCCTTTAGGGGAACTGCCATTGCATCCCCACAGGGCTCAAAATGTATCATCAGTGACAAGGAGATAGCGTTGTGGTGGCCAAGGGTTGCAGAAGACCACTGTGCGCATGCGCAGGGACCTGCTGCATATGAGCTAAGCTGCCTGGTTGCCTTGTTCCATTGCGTTCAGACCCAGGCAGGACTGAGCCTTAGCAGGAGAGTCTCCTCCAAGCTGGGCCCTCCCCTCTTTCCCAGCCATTTCCTTGGCTACCTTCTGCCTATGCCGCATTTAAGATTTCTCTTATGATTTAAGAGACTGTTGCTGACCATTGTGCAACCTAAGGTGAGTTCCAGCACCTCTCCGTGCCTTGGTGTCCTGCTCTGTACAGCGAAGGGGTGCTGTCCCCGGCTCGCTGGCCTTTTCCGGGATGGCAGGAGCCACTGCTGCAGAGCATCTGTTGTGCTGCCCATGCTGCCTGTGTCTTTGCAGTCATTGTAATTATTAGTTGTTGCCATGTTACTCTTCTGCTCTGTCCACGGGAGGCAGTGGTCATCCTTGTGGGCATCTGGCAAGTGGTGGTGTTTCCTGCTGACGTGCCAAGCTGGTGTCTCACGGGTTGGTTCTTGTCCAGATTCCAGAATTCTCTGATGGCTTCTGGACGGGAGCCCAGCTGGCATGCTGGACGAATTCAGAGACACCGTGGGCCTACTTTCCGAAAATCTCCATATACCTGCGAGAGGAGAACTCCAGCCGGTCTTTCCGCATAACCATCCTGCCTCAGGTATGGACTTGGCTTCCTGCTTCTCTCGTGTTTTAGCCTGTAACGTGCAAAAACCAAAGCGTTTGTGCCCAACAGGTGCATCGCGGGCATCATAGCTCTCCCAGGCGTCTGTTGCCACAGTAACAAGACCATGTCCAGGGCTGGTTCTGAGTCCACAGCCAGGCCAGCCCCCAGTTCTTGGAGCCTCAGATAAGTCCAGATTCCCAGCTAGGGACAGAGACTACTGTGGCCTCTAGGAAGAGGGAAGAGCTGAGGATGCTTTTGTAATATTGGCCAACAGCACCATCTTCTACTTTTTCCTGTACCAAAAAAGAATAAAACTGTTGGGAGTGGTGGCACATAACTGCAATTTCAGTACCTAGGAGGCTGAGGCAGAAGGATCACAAATTCAGAGCCAGCCTAGACTACAGAATGAGTTCAAGGCCAGCCTGGACTACATAGTGAGACACTGTCTCTTTTTATTATTATTGATACCTTTTAGATACCCATAATGTTCTCATTCGCTATGTGGAATTTACACCTACACATGATGCGTCCTGCTTCTTGTTTTTCCCGTTCCTAGCCCCTCCCTTCAACCTCTCTTCCCCTCACTATTTACAAAAGTTTGTTTGCATTTTTTCCTTCTGTTCTTTTTTTCTTGTCTCTTCTCTTCTCACCCCTCTCATATGCATATTTTCTTCCCCTTTCTCAGTATCTATGTTTTTATGTCTTTTATTTTTAAAAAACAAAGCTGATTGTCAGGGGTGATGACGTCACTGTTTTTCTCTAGAATTCCAGTCCCCATGAGCTTTCTCCTGAGCCTGTGACAGAACAGTTCACAATGCTCTGCCACCCTCTGCCATTCTTCCTGCCTAGGGCCTGGCCCACGCCCCTCTTGTATAGCCTCTGTGCCCACTGCGCCTGTGGCCCCAGGCTCCCACCCTGGTCAACATGACTTCTGCGTTAACCCCTGCACCCCATGGCTTTCCTACTGCATGCTCCTGCTCTGGGCTCCCCTCTCAGAGTCCCAGGCCCTGGCCCTCTGCTGGGCCATCTCTATTCTGCCTGTCTCAGCCTCCCACCCACCCAGAGCTCACAGCCCCAGCCTGAAATGCTGTCTTGCTTTTCCTGTGCCCCAGATTCCTTCCAGCCAACTCAGACAGCCCTTGCTTTGTTGCAGCCCTGCTGAGCAAAATATCCCATTGTCCCTTGCCCTTGGAATGCATATTTTACAGGCCACTCATCTGGTGTGGGGTTATTTCTTTAGGGCATGTTTTGAATTCTGCTTTTGTGTTTGTAAAAATAATCTTATACATCTTCTTCCCCTGACTATGAATTCCTGGTGGGTGAGGATGGGCCTGTGGGCTCTCGGGCTCATCTGGCCTGTGCTGACCCGGCTGGCAGTCAGTTGAGGGAGGAGCGCAGCAGCTACCTCTTGGGCAGACACAGCGGTTGGTGTCTCAGGTTTGATTTGATGAATTGGACACAGAAGGCTGGCACTGAAGGAGATGCAAGGAAGATCCCTGTCAGAGGAGGACCCTGCCTGCCTCCCACGCTTACTGTCTGTGGGCAGTGCATGCTCCTGAGACTCCGTGGGGGAGACAACAGGAAGTTTCAAGAGAAATACAGCTCCCAAGTGGGTCTGCTTTGGTCACAGCACTGTAGGCGGCCAAAACAGGAGGACTGCAAGGTTGTGAGACCCTGTTTCAAAATACAAAAAGGGCTGGGGGTATAGCTCACACTGAAAGCCCTGGGTTCAGTCCTCAGGATCACTAAAAGAAAAAGAAGTTATGTTTCCAGTTCTGCCCTTGACTCCCTATAACTTAAGCCAATCTCAAACCTTTCCGGCGCCCTTCTCTTTCTCACCATAAGAGAGGTAACACCAATGCTCTCCAAAAGACCTTTCTGGACAAAGGCACAGGCCCTGGGTGCTTGCAGCGGTGACAGAAAGGTAAACTTGCAGTGTGTTTGAAACACCGGGCTCCTGGTATTGACATTTCAGTCAGGTGAAGAGCAAGGCGTGGCTGCCGTCTCCTCCATGTGCTTGTGCACTGAGTCCCCAGCTGGAGGACAGAGGACAGCATGCCTTGGAATTTCAGAGCTGCAGGCCAGTGCTGGCCCTTCCCTAGTTGGTGCCAGGCACTGGGCAACGGGATGAAATAGAAGAGGTCTGGACACGTTTTGCCTTGCCCAGGAATTCAATATGACCCTCATGTAGGAGGTGGAAGATATCTTCAAGGGATGGCTTTGCCCTGTTGTGATTTTGATGGCTCTGTTTTCCTGGTTTCTTACCCACATCATGTCAGGTTGCAACCCATTTCCCTGGTGGGGAGGGCAGAGATGACCTAAGGGAGATGAGCTCCCAGGGCCATGCTGTGCTCCCCAGAGGTGACCCCACCCCACAGCCTCGTCCTGACCTTGAGCAGTAATGGGGCATCTTCTCCTTGGGATCCCTTAGCGGAGCCTTCAGGCACCAGCAGTAATTGGTGAGGAATTGAGCGCCAGTGCAGAAGACAGGCCAGTGCCGGGTCTTCATTCTCTGTTCCCAGTGGTATTTCCCCAAAACACGTGAGTTAAATCCATTTGTGCTGAGGAAGAAAAAAAAAAAAAAAAATGACACCAAAACCAGCACCTGGCAGACAGGGGAAGTTTGATTTTTCTCTTTTCAAGAAATAAAAAGACCTTTAACATTGTACTCATATTCAGTCTAAATGTCACGGGTTTTTCTGCTCATGCCATTTTGGTTTAAGGCAGTTTATTCTGAGCCCCAGCAAGACTGAAGCTTCCTAGCACATTAGCAGTTGTGTGGCTGGGAGTTCTCGCTGGCGTCCGCTGGGGCACACAGAACCAGCTACGAGAGGGAGATCAGCTTTGCATATGTTGGCATCAGGATCCATTGCCCCATACAAGTGGTGATAAAAATATGTGAGAATGTTTAAATTTTAAAAGGTGATTGCACTAAAAGACACATTGCTCTGAGGGTCAGAGTCTTCCCTGAGTCTTTATGACACGTGCTCAAAAATATGGTGAGTGCTGCTGCCCAGTCACCACCAAGAGAGAGGCGGCTGTGTCCACGTCCACCTTGGTCCCCAGCTCTGTCACTGTGCAACTTCCAGCTCCTCCCACAAGTCAGAACAACCGTGCAAGGGAAACCATGAGGACAGTGAGGCAGCCAGGCAGGAGAGACAACTCCAGAGTTGCTGCAGAAAGCAGCAGGGATGATGGGATGAGTGTGTGGGAAGCAAGGGGCCGGATCTGAGGAGGAGGTGTGGGAATGTGGTATTTTCACAGTACGATATTAAACATGTACCGTATTTTTCAGTCACACCTCATATTTGATAAGTAATTGGGTTTCTTGTGGAATGGTGGCATTTACAGGATGTGGGTAGGTGTACGTGAGTGGGTATATGTGGGTAGGTGACGTTGGGGAGCCTCCCTCCACCTCCACAAGGTCCTAGCTCACCTGCCAGCACACAGAAGTGTGTGAGGTTCCTCTCGGATGTCAGTCACATTCTGACCATGGACAGAGGGGCACATGAGTGCTTTGGAAAGTGTCTCTTCTGGTGTTCCTGTCCCTTCCATGGTGTGGCGGTCTCACGTTTCCCTTTCACACATCCCCCTTAGGCTTGTCACTGTGCTCTTCGCGTACTCATCTCCTGAGACCACACGCTGAGGTCGTCTGCTGAGGTTCCCACGCGTGTCGGGGGCTCTGAGCTTACGCGGCCTCCGCCGTTTCCTGATGTGCCTGATCGTGCTCTCCCGTGTGTTTCTTCCTCTCTTCCACAAACAGCTTTACATCCAGCCCATGATGGGTGCTGGCCTGAACTATGAGTGCTACCGCTTCGGCATCTCTCCCTCGACCAACGCGCTGGTGATCGGGGCCACAGTGATGGAGGGCTTCTATGTGGTCTTTGACCGAGCTCGCAGGAGGGTAGGCTTTGCGGCAAGCCCCTGTGCAGGTGAGCGTCCCTGGTTTATCCTGGCATGCTGCGTTCCGGGTGGCACAGTAGTGCCATGAGATGGTTCCACGCATGCCTGTGATTACATCCTGTTGATAAAGTGGGTCACAGGCTTGTGGAGGGGATTCAGTGGCAGTGTCCCTGGGACACCTTCAGCCCAATGCAGACGTGCTGAGCAGGAAGCCGAAAATCCCTTCCTACACCTGCTGGGCATGTGCTCAGTGGCCCTTGCTTTTGAAATAGTTTTATTTTGGTCACTGGCGATGAACCCAGGGCCTCGTATGTGCTGAGCACACACTTGTCCACTGAATTCGTCCCTTAGCTCATGAGTTAGTTTTTTGACAGTTAAAGCCAAACAAAGGAGAAAATTCATTCATAAGTTGGGTATATTTTTCGCTCAAAGCAGTCTCATTATGAAATAGAGATTTTCTTTTCTTTTCTTTTGGTACCAGGGATCATCAAACTCAAGAACTTGTACTTGCTAGGCAGGGATTTAGGCTACTAAGCTATCTTCCTGGCCCTCATTATGAAATAAAAACCACAAGGTGTGACTAAAAATATGTGTTTCAGAAAAATTTGTTGCAGTAAAAGATGCATTGCTATGAATCCCTCTTGCCCTGAGCACACTCATCCTGTGGTCCTTGCTACTTCCTGCAGCATTTCTATAGCCCTCTTTCCCGAGGTTCTTCAGTTGTGCTGTCCTGACAGCCTCGATGTCCTGCACTGATTCAAAATATTTCCTTTTGTGGTCATTTTGACTTTGGGGAAATGCGGGAAGTCCTGTGGTGCCAGACCTGATGAATAAGGTGGATGAGGACACAGCATCATGTTTTTATTAGCTGCCTTTCCATTGCATGATGCTGGGCAGCAGCATTCACTATATTTTTGATCTCATAAAGACACTCAGAAAGAAGACTCCAGAGCTGCTTCAGGAAGTGGCAAGGACGATGGGATGAGTGTGTTCAAAGTAAGGGGGAGGATTTTGAGGGAGATTCTTGACAATGTGTCTTACTGTAATTTTAATTGCAATACTGTATTTTTGATGCCCCATTGCAAAGACTTATTGTTACTTTTTGAAATCCTAAAACCCAGACCTTAGAGCCCTTTTTTGGTAGAACTCCTTTGAAAGGCTGGCATGGGGTGACAGCATGTCATATTCTAGCATAAAGATCAGACAGGTGGTCATGAGGATATGGGGCTGAGCCTCAGGCCATGCTGCCTTCAGAAACAGGGGCTCAGCGAGGCATCCACATGGCCTGGCTTTGGGGAGGATTAGACCTAGGACTGTTGGTCCTGGCCGACCCAAAAGAGGCAAGAAGAGCAAGATGACATGAGATGGAGCTGCTGGAGCTCTTGGAGGGAGAGTCTGCCTGTGGGGTGTGGCCAGGACAGCCATGGCATTTCAAAATAGGATTTCAAAGCATTTTGATCCACTGGACTAGGGTCAGGAACAGAATGAAATCTTAAAGCTGTGCTGATAAGGGGCTAAGGGAGAGGAGAGCAAATCAGTGGGGTTTAGAAAGAACTAATGAGAAGGGATAGAATAGAAGAAACTTTGGACTGAGAGTGAGATTTGATATCTCCATGCAGATGCAAAAAAGGACTTGCAAAACTCCATGGGCAAAAAGTCTTAAACATCGGAGAGAATGGTGGGACATGGAGGTTGCTAGCCTGGCCAGCTGAGAGATTTCTTATTGTACTGGGGATTGAATCCAGCGGAGCTGTGTCCCAAGTCCTTTTCTTTTTTGAAACAGAACCTTACTAAATTGCTTAATTTCCATGCTGAGTTGAGAACATCCTGCCTCAGCCTTCAGCAGTGCTAGGATTTTGAGTATGTTTCACCATGTTGGAGCTGAGATTTCACCTGTCTTTTCACATTCAAATTGTGGTCTTTGAACATGTAAATAGAACAGGTAAGGGGCACTGCATAGGTTTGTGTCAACACATTGGCATTCCCAAAAGTTGGAGGGAGGTGTCTTCTCTCGTGCTCTCTCTCTCTCTCTCACTCTCTCTCTCTCTCTCTCACTCTCTCGCTCTCCCACTCTCCACTCTTGCTCTCGCTCTCTCTCTCTCTCACTCTCTCACTCTCTCTCTGTCCCCCTCCTCTCCCTCTCCCCCTTCCCTCTCTCCTTCCCTCAGTCCCTCTGTTTCCTCTCCCCCTCTCCCTCCCGTCCTCCCTCCATTTCTCTTCTGTACTGAGAATTAAACTCAGGGCCTTCTGCCTGCTAGGCAAGCATTGTACCACTGAGCTACATCCTGAGTCCTAGAGCAATGTTAAAAGGAAAGATTGCTTCCCTGTTATACTGCTCATTCACACAGAGCTCCCGAGCCCTGTGTACCTACATGAGAGATGGAGATGGATCTTCTTAAACAGCAGCTTGTGCTTCCTTGTGGGTGAGCAGACCTGCAAGCTCACTGATTGTGGAGCACTTGTTCATTGCAGACCTTTCCCACCCATGATGTGGTTGTGCCCTAGACCCTCTCTGCAGCAGCAAGTAGAACTGGGCAACCTAAAGTATCCCTGGAGTTCCTAACAGTGGATGTTTTACCTCTTTATAACCTAAGGAATCTAAGAACCTCAGCAATTCAGCCCATAATTTCTGCTCTCTTGTTACCACTAAAGTAAGGGCTGCCATGGCAACAGCGATTGCGCATCCACTTAACCCTGCAGAGGGTGTAATGACCAAGCCTTATACAGGTGAGTGGCTATGGGGAGTAGTTTAGTCCTCAGGGTCCCTAACTGGGAAATGTTGCTTCCCACGATTCACCTTGAATTCTCAGGTGCTCTTATATATGGCTTCTTGTCGTTGATTTGTTTCAAATGCATGCAAGGTCTTGGTACTTAAACATTTGACTTCACCAGCTGTGGAAATAGACCCTGCTATCCGTGTCCTCTTCCGTGCAAATTATGTGGCCATTAAAGCAATGACTTTCCCCAGGGCTGCAATTAAAGGAGCCAGCTGGGGCTTGGTAGCACTGTAATAAATGGAATGCATGCCTGGCCTTTCTTTAAGCCTTTATTTTTAACTCTGAAATGTTTTAAGTCATAAAGTGGTATAAATTATGAAGAAGCATACAGCGTCCTTCCGTTTCCATGTGGAATTAGTTCCAAGACCCCTCATAGGCAACAAAATCTGAGCCTGTATGCAAATTGACATAGTACTACATATAATGCATGCACTTCCCCTTTTACCTTAAGCCACCTCTGCATGGCATGTGACGTCACTGCCCTGTCAGTGCCTCTCCTCCACTATGTAGGAGGTAATGAGAAAAGTCAGTACGCTTTCAGGACAAAAACATCTTTTTTCAAATATCTTCAAATCTCACTGGCTGTGGTGCCACACTCCTATAATCCCAGCACTCGGGAGGCTGAGGCAGGAGGATCACTTTAAGCTCGAGGCCAACCTGGACTGCATAGCAAGACCCTGTCTTAAAAAAAAAAAAAAAAAAAAAAAAAATTCAGATCCCACAGATAATAACATTTTGACATATTTGCTTCAAAAGTTTGTCATAAAAATATAAGAACAAAGTCAGGAAATGCTCCATGCCAGCCTCTTCCCAGAGTGCTCTGTGTCACGCAAGTGATACATACTTTCCTCATAATCGCATGGAGTTACAAGTGTACTATACTGGTATCGGTGCTTCTGTTGATCTCCACTGCTGCTGCATAAAAACTTCCCCAAAACTGAGCAACTCCTTTTTTTTTTTTTCTTTCTGTGCTGGAGGATGAACCCAGGGCCTATCACACTGGGCCATACATAGCACCACCCTTTTATTATTATTTTTTTTTAGATATATTCTCACTAAATCACTAAATTGCCCAGGCCAGGCTTGAACTTATGGTCCTCCTGCCTCAGCTTCCCACGTGCTGGGACCCCAGTGTATGGCACCACCCCAGCTCTTAGTGGCTCATCGCGGTTTCTTATGCAGCGTCCCAGGGTGGGGAAGGAGATGGACCTCAGGGTCTATCTCCTGAGCTCAGCTACCTGAGGTCCACAGACCTGGGCCAGGGCCACTCCTCCTGCGTACACATCATCCCCACAGCTGCCCAGAGGGCCCGGAGAGGGCACCTGCTCACCCAGAATGAGTGACCAGAGAGACAGAGGGCAGCCAGACATTCAAGACAGAAGCTGCCGCCTTCCCATAACATGATCCCAGCAGGGACATCCATCCTTTCTGCCCTAGGCGCCCATCACACAGAGCTGTGGTCCCAGTGGAGGGGGCGACACGGGTTCACTTCTAGGAAACAGGTGCCTGCCCTCAGTCTTGAGAGCTGCCTGCCATAGGATCACGTATAGCTAGTGGGGCTGTGTTCATTGACCGCTTTGCAATCTTGTTGTTCCTTCTCATCATAATTTCTCTGAGAGCTGTGGTGCTGGGAATGCCATTGGTCAGCTGGACTTCCTGGCTGAGCACCATCCTGCGCAGTTACCATGTTGAGTGGGTGCACGTGGACCACAGCGTCTCATGCCATGCATCCACATTCCCAGGTCATGAGCCCAGCCCCGTGCTCACTGTCACTCGGGTTGTTTCTAATTTTTGCTGCCCTAAACAGTGCCACCTCAAACGTCTTTGCACACATGAACCAGGTCTTCCAGAAATGGAATTTCTAAGTGAGTTAGTGTGTGGTTTTTACTGTTACTGGCTGCTCTCCATTTGTCATTGAAGTCAGTAAAACATCAAGATTATATAGTGGAAGAATTTCCTTTCCCTCAAAGCATTTGAACATTAGGTTTCTTTCGCATTTTGCCAATTAATGTGTATGAAATCTTGTCATATTTCAGTGGGTCACATTCAGGATTATAAGACTGTTGATGTAGTTACAGGGTATTTGTGGGGTTTCTTTTGCTGTCTAGTACACATTTCTGTGCTTTTCTAAGTGCTTCTCTCAGACATCTTACTTGTTTTTGGTGTCTTTACTCATTTAAATTTAGTGAAATTGGATTTACTAGTTTTTTTCCCAGCTGGCCTGTACTCTGCTTCATTTAGAAAATCCTTGG